GAACACTACCTGCAATGCTGCCTTTAAGCTGCGGAGTCTTGTGAGCGAAAATTCTACTTTGTGAGCTACTGGCATTAAAGTTGTGAGTGAGAGATTGGGCTCCTGCATAAATTAGTTTGCTCTGGAGCCCTCCTTCCTGAGCCGAGACAAAAATGTGTGAGCAGGAGACTAAAAAACTGTGAGCCAGCTCACACTAACTCAGCTTAGAGAGTACACTGGTGGGTACCAGAAATGGTATCGGTGGGCATCATGGTAAAGTAAAGGTAAAGGTTCCCTTGCTCGAAAGCCACTCGAGTCCGACTCTAGGGTTGTGGTGCTCATCTCCGTTTCAAAGCCGAAGAGCCAGCGCTGTCCGAAGACATTTCCGTGGCCATGTGGCCGCCATGACTAAACACCAAGGCGCACGGAACACTGTGACCTTCCCACTAAAGGGGTACCTATTAATCTACTTGCAATTTCTTGCTTTCAAACTGCTAGGTTGGCAGGAGCTGGAACTAGAGATGGGAGCTCACTCCGTCATGCGGCACACTCGGGCAACACGTTATGGAACTCCTGTCCTGACCGAAATAAAAGGGACATGAACAGTTCTGCCTGGGATTTGATCTGCAATCGCTATTCTGCAGAAAACAGCTTACCACTAGACATCCATCCATCCATGCTTTTATCCTTAGTTAAGGGCCAGCAAAGGCAGGAAGAGGTTCCTTGTACACACACACACACGTACACACAGGTTAACACAATCCTTGAGCAGCCATCCCTCTGTGACAGTGAACCAACTGTGACCTGCACACAAGTACAGCCTTCCGTTCAGCACTCCTCTGGGAGTGGAGAGAACTGGCAATCACGCTTCCTATTTCTGTAGAAGCTGGGCATGGACAGCACCAACTGGCTAGCTCCAGTGCTGTCCTCCGCAGAGTAATCTCACTATATTTTAATTTATTTTTTTAACATATATACAAATAAGGCCTCAAACACTGAAATGGCTATTCCATATTGTTGGATTCAGGATCAGATCTGGGCATTGCCAACAGTCTAGCTTCCTGTCTCACACAGTGGCCAACCAGTTCCTCTGGCGGGCCAACAACAGGGCATAGAGGCTGAGGCTTTGCCCTGATGTTGCCTCCTGGATTCAGAAGTCGACTGCCTCTGAATGTGGAGGTTCCCCTCAGTCTCCATGGTTAGTAGCCTTTGATAGACTTATCTTCCATGAATCTATCTAATCCCCCTTTTAAAGCTGTCTATATCCTCTGGCAGCGAATTCCACATTTTAATCACCCTCTGTGTAAAGTTGTATTTCCTTTTGTTCATTCTGATCCTACTGCCCATCAGCTTCATTGGATGCTCTCGGGTTCTAGTATTTTGGTGTAGGGCAAACATCTACTTTCTCCACTCCCTGCATAACTTTATAAATCTCTGTCATGTCCCTGTTAGTCACCTCTTTTCTCACCTGAAAAGTCCCAAACTCCTCAGCCTTTCCACTACACCTCCCCTTCCATGCGGCTGATGCCTGGGGGCAAGCTCAGCTTGCAAGGTGTCTCAGTACCCTGCTTGCTGTGCCGGCCCAAGCAGACCATTATGTGTGGAAGCAGTCCTGCCACTGCTTGAATTCCAGATAACGTGGCCCCATTTGGGTTGCCAGCCCTTGCCAGGGAACCCCTGGGGGACCTGCGTCAACAGCGTCTCACAATGTCACTTCAGAAGTTACATCATCGTATCACAGGACACTCTAGGATCTGCCTAGAGATTTGGGTGAGTCCCAGAGCACCCCATGAGGCAGTGATGTCACTTCCCATACCACATTCGGAAGTGCCACTGCTGTCGTGCCACTGTTCCCCCTAAGCTGTGGGCATGAGTGGCCCAAGGTTCATTTTAAGATTACAGCAGTTATATTCTGCTCAGAATGTGAACTGCTGCACTCGGTGTGTGTGTGTGTGTGTGTGTGTGTGTGTGTGTGTGTGTGTGTGTGTAAGATTAGAGGGAACCTTGCATGCTGCAAGACCCCATTTCGTCCCTCCCATTTCCCCCCCGCTGCCCTACTGAGCGGCAGTGGAAGATGAAGACCGAGGATGGGAGGCTGCCTGCCAAAGCAAGCAACCCGGGCAGCGTAAACCAGGACTGGAATGTAGCAGGAGCCGTTCCCCAATAACATTTTCCCAGGAAATACTCAAGGTACGGATTCCGTTTGAGCTCAGGGCCCAGACAGAAGAAGAAGAAGAGATTGGATTTATACCCAGCCCTTCACTACCCAAAGGAGTCTCAGAGTGGCTTACAAACTCCTTTCCCTTCCCCTCCCCACAACAGACACCCTGTGAGGTAGGTGGGGCTGAGAGAGCTCTTGACAGAAACGGCTCTTTTTCAAGAACAGCTCTTATCAGAGCTACAGCTTGCCCAAGGTCATCCAGCAGGTGCAAGTGGAGGAGTGGGGAATCAAAAGATTAGAGTTTGCGCACTTAACCACTGCACCAAACTGGCACTACACCAAACTGGCTCTCTAGGGAGCCTCTTGGTAATGCATAAAACATACCCTACTGCTCTCCCGCTAGTGGAAAGGCCTCTGTTACGTGGAGAGAGAGAGAGAGAGAGAGAGAGAGAGAGAGAGAGAGAGATGTTGATGTCAACCGACATTCCTTCTCACACCACCCCCTTTGCTTTAGCAAATGAGTGCCAAGTGTCCCAAAGTCCCATGAGAAGGCCCCAAGCTACACTCACCCTGAAGGATTAATAGGGCGAACGCATAAATAACGGGTCAGCTCTTGCTCAATTAGTCAGTTTTTAGGGTGGCCCAAAAATCAAGACGCATCAAAGCTTCTCTGGCAACAGTGGGATTATCAGATCTGCGTAGGGTTGCCAGCCTCCAGGTGGGGCCTGGGGATCTCCTGCTTTTACAGTTGATCTCCAGCTGACAGAGATCAGCTCCCCTGGAGAAAACGGCTGCTTTGGAGGGTGGGCTCTCTGTGGCACTGGACCAGGCTGAGGCCCCCGAAACCCCGCCCTCTCCTGGGTCCACCCCCCCCCCCCAAAGTCTCCAGGTCTTTTCCAACCCAGACCTGGCAGCCCTAGATCTGAGGGAGCTGGCGTTGATAAAGTGAGAAGCCCGCAGAAAGCCTTAGCCGGGAGGGAGTGATGCTCCAAATGCGCCACCCAGCACGGAACCCTCAGAATCGTTTCGCTGGAAGGGAGGAAGCAAGCGCTTGGTCCTCATGGTCGCCCGTACTGGGGCTGGTGGTGGTAAGGAGCAGGGCTATTTTGGGGCAGGAACGCACCGGAACGGAGTTCCGGCTGGCTTCAGGGTTGGCCACGCCCACTACAGCTAAAATGTCTGTGCTCGTGGCTACAGAGGGAAGGACAGAAGAGCAAAACCCCCCCCAGCGACTCCGAAGCAGGCAGGCCAGGGGGGCCCTCTGGAAGGATCGGGGAGGCATTTAAGGGCCAGCTTGCCAGGCATCCCGCAGCCGTGGGGCAACTGGGCAAGTCAAGGAAAGGCATGTGGGTGTGGCCTAATATGCTAATGAACTGTGCTGTCGGGGTGTGTGGCCTATTATGCTAATGAGTTCCTGCTGTTGGGTGTGGCCTATTATGCTAATGAGTTCCTGCTGGGCTTTTTCTACAAAAAGAGCCCTTGGTAAGGAGGAAGCACGCAGCCCTGCCCCTGTGCATGTCCGTCTCCGGGAAGATGAAGGAATGCGCCAGCAATCCTGCTGGTGGTCATGCATAGGGCTGCCAACCTCCAGGTGGGGCCTGGAGCTCTTCCAGGATCACAGCTGGTCTCCGGGCTGCAGTGATCCGCTCCTCTGGAGAAAATGGGCTGCTTTGGAGGGTGCCCTCTCTGGCATCACACCCCTGTTGCGATCCCTTGCCAGACTCGGCCACCCTCGGTCCTGCCCTCAAGTCACCAGGGATTTCTCAGCCTGGACTTGGCAGCCCTGACAGAAACCATCACATGCCAGTTCCTGTGCCTTATGAAGCCCCTGATTTAAAAGCGCCGCCTGAGAAAAGTGGCTGAGAAGCGGGTAACCTTACAGACGCACACGCATCCAATGTGTATAAAAGATAAAAATGTCTGGGTGGGGGTCTTCCGTAGCTGAGGAATGGGTTTCGGTCGCTCTCCCTCCCCTCAGTCCCTGTCTTCTTACTTGCCTTCCATGGCCTCTGGCTAAAGCGCTCCGATTCCTGCTCACCAACGTCAACCCGTTTTTTAAGGCCCCGCAGAGAAATGCTGGTCGCCACTGTCGGGTCAGGAAGCAATTCTTCTCCAGGCCAGTTTGGCTGGGGATCCTGGAGTGGTTTTTGGTCATCTTCTGGGCGTGGAACAGGGGTCACTGGGGGTGCGTAGGGGGAGGTATTTGTGAATTTCCTGCATCGTACAGGGGGTTGGACTAGATGACCCTGGAGGTCCCTTCCAACTCTGTGATTCTACGACTAGCCGGGGCCGACCCTGCTTAGCTTCCGAGATCTGACGGGATCGGGGTCGCCTGGGCTAGCCAGGTCAGGGCGAACTTCTTACTAGGCACCCATAAAATGGTTGTTCCTGCCCTGTCCCTGCAGAGGGATACCTGCAGCTCAGACCCTCTCGAATACGGTGCTGGTATAATTTGGGCTTCGTGTGCACAACAACCCAGACTCAATGTGTTACCGCCACTTGCAAACCATTTCAGGCTGGGGAAGACCTCGGCCCGAGACCCTGGACAGCGACTCCCAGGAAAAGCAGACAGTCCTCGGCTAGATGGGCCAGCCGGCCGGAATCCCCACAAGGCAGCCGCTTCTATAAACACAGCCCCCCCATGACACGGCCCGCAGAGCCACATCTGCAGGCTGGCCACTTCAGCCGGCATGCTTCCCCCTCACCCACGGTGCCCCACGTGGTGGATTCCAGGGCCAGGGAAACGCTCCGGGTTCTCTTTGGTCCCCGACACGCCGGGAATCACACCAATGTTCCCAGGAAGCGCAAAGCTCCTCTGCACCATCTGCATCCTGCAGCTCCCGCCCTCGGCCGGCGCTTCCTACTTGCAGCTGTAAACCACCTCCTCTTGGATGCACTGCTGGCATTCCACGTAACAGCACCACTGCACCTGGCAGTGGCAGGCAAAGGTGACCAGGCGGGTCTGGGTGTTGTGCCCCCGGCCGCAGCACAGGCTGTCGCAGTTGACCTCGCGGGAGCACGGCCTCCCCGTGGTGCCCGCCGAGTACTTGCTGGGCAAGCAGAAGGGAGGGGAGTCCTCCATGTACACAAGGTCCGTGGGGCGGGGGGCCGAGGGGCCTTTGGACAGGCGGCCGGGGGGGGGGGGGCCGGCCAGCTCCGAGTGGCCTACAGCCTCGTTGGAGGTGCTGAAGACCTTGACGGCCTGGTCGTAGCGCAGCTTGAGGAGCTTCCCCGTCTCGTGGAAAGGGGACAGCTGCTTCCAGCAGGTCCTCACGGCGCACGAGCCGGAAACCCCGTGGCACTTGCAAGTGGTCTTCAGCCCGTTTTTCACAGCCTGGGGGAGGGCAAGAGAGACGATCAGGCATCGCATACAAAGGACTGGGGGGAGAGAGGAGCTGGAGAAGCCACTCTTTGGGGCGGATGAGGAGGGTCCCAGAGCCACCCCACCCAGGGGCTCAGCTTCCGCCCAGCCATCTGCGGCAAAACTCTCTGCACATGCTCAGTGGCACCCACTTTCCACCAATTCCTACAGAGGCCCTGTGGGTACCAGGGCACCCGCCAATCCCTTTCCTGGTGCCCGTCAATTGTTTTTAGGAAGTGGGCAAGCGGGCATACCGGATTCGCTTCAAGGTGCTGGTTTTGACCTTTAAAGTCCTTTATGGTCAGGGTCCGGCATACCTTTCCCCATATGTTCCCCAGAGAGCACTTCGTTCAGGGGCTCAAAACCAGCTGGCCCTCCTGGGCCCCAAAGACGCTAAACTGGCGATAACCAGGGCCAGGGCCTTCTCGGTGGTGGCTCCATGCTGGTGGAATGAGCTTCCGGAGGAGATCAGGGCCCTGCGGGACCTTTAACAGTTCTGCAGGGCCTGCAAGATGGAGCTCTTCCACCAGGCTTTCAATTAGGGGCCACCTTAAACACCAAGGAGTGGCCCTGCGCCCTGGTTCTACCACCCTCAGTCTATTTCGCAGTCAGTGAGTTTATCTCGCCGCATAAATTGTGCAATCAGATTGAGCTGACTGAGAATACCACCAGGACCAATACCTAAGTAGTAATACTGTTGGTTTCAGGAACTTCCGCTCTGCACTTTAATTGTTTCCAGCACTTCGAAAATGGTTTCTGATTGTTCTTGGATGTTTTAAGTATGTTTTAAATTGTATTTTATATACATTTTACGTAAGCCGCCCTGAGCCTGCTTCGGCAGGGAGGGGGTATAAATCGAACTAATAAAATAAAATAAAAATAATGTTCCCTCAAGAGCACTACGATTGGGGAAGCTCCCTCTCCTGGGAGTGCCAGGTCCCCGAGAGATTAAGTTTGCCTCTACTAGGGCCAGGGCATTTTCGGTGGCAGCTTCTACCTGGTGGAATGAGCTCCCAGAGGAGATCCAGGCCCTGCGGGACCTTATATAGTTCCGCAGGGCCTGCAAGACGGAGCTCTTCCACCAGGCGTTCGAGTAGCAACCGCCGCAGCCACTATTCTACCACCAAGGTGGCAAGTCATCAGCTGCCCTATAAGAACAGGGGCAAGCGGGCCCTGGCAGAAGTTTGAGACAGTGTAGTGGGAGACCACGCTACTGAGACAGCTGGCCACCAAACCTGGGGGGGTTGTCCCCATCTTGGATGATTAATATAGGTATAGCACCGTATTATTGGAAGGTTTTAATGGGATTTTAAATGTTCTATTTATTATATACTGTATTGTATTTTGCACTCGGCTTTGCCGCATGTGAGCCGCCCTGAGCCTCTGGGAGGGCGGGATATAAATCAAACAAATAAACAAACAAATAAATAATTGACGACTGGTGATTTGGTTGGGTGTCCAATTTTTTTTTTAATGTTGCTTTGGCAGCAGCTGCCCCCGCAGCACAAGGGTCTGCCCTGTGCGACTGAAGAGAAACTGCAGCAGCCATTGTGTCACTGGCTCCGCCTCTTGAAGCAGCCATTTTGGGGTTGCGCCCACCATGCCGTGTCAGAATTTCAAAAGTGCCCCCAGGCTGAAAAGGGTTGGGGACCCCTGACTTACCACACCATAGGGCTGAAGCAATAAACCTAACGTAAGAGTTCTAGATGAGTGGCCACGCTAGTCTGTCCGTAGCAGTAGGAAAGAGCAAGAGTCCAGGAGCACTTTGTGGCAGGGGAGGAGCTTTCGGGAGTATCTGGAGAAGTGAGCAGTGACTCGCGAAAGCTCCTCCCCTGCCACAAATTTTGTTAGTCTTTAAGGTACACCTGGACTCCTGCTCTTCTCTACTATTAAGGTGAAGGTAAAGGTTTCCGTTGCTCGAGAACCAGTCGAATCCAACTCAAGGGGGCAGCGCTCCTCTCCGTTTCCAAGCCAAAGAGCCAGCGCTGTCCGAAGGCTTCTCCGTGGTCCTGTGGCCGGCATGTCTAGATGCCAAGGTGCACGGAACGCTATTACCTTCCCACCGAAGCGGCACCTCTTTATCTGCTTGCAATTTCTTGCTTTCAAACTGCTAGGCTGGCAGGAGCTGGGGCCAGAGACGGGAGCTCACTCCGTCACACGGCACTCGGGACTCGAACTGCCAAACTACAGACCTTCCTGTCTACAGCTCAGTGCCTTAACCTCTGAGCCACCGCGGCCCTTTTCTACTATTAGAGTTATAGAAATGGTGATTTACCTCCAACTGAGCCCTGTGGAAAGCTGAAAGGAGTGGTTCTGTGTAGCAAAAAATTGGTGTGTGTGTGTGAGGGGTCAACGAGTTTAAAATTACAGTAGATTAAGGCTTTGCAAGTAGATAAATAGGTACAACTTCAGTGGGAAGGTAACAGCGTTCCGTGCATCTTGGTGTTTAGTCATGCAGGCCACAGAAACGTCTTCGGGCAGCGCTGGTTCTTTGGCTTGGAAACGGAGATGAGCACCGCAACCCTAGAGTCGGATTCGACTGGCTTTCGAGCAAGGGAACCTTTACCTTTAAGGCTTAAACCATCATAAGAACTTGTTAAGTCAAAGATCAGTTCAGTAACAGAATGCACTGTTAGGGAAGGGAAGGGAACTCTTTCCTCCCTTAGAAGCTCTGAAATGTCATGTTGGGGAAATTCCTCCAGTACAGGCAGGGCTGTGCCAATGGAACAATTCCAGCCGGGCTAAGAACGCTGCACCAGTCACAGGATCCCGCCGTCCCAGAACGTCAGCTGTCACTCGGACCTCTTGTCCCGCAAAGCACACCCGTCTCTGGCCCTCAGGATGGTAAAGATTCACTTAAGTATACTGGAAATCCGCTTTTCTCTTCAGATCACAAGGCTGCTGAATTTCCAAGCGCTCCAAGAGGGTGATTATAAAAATACCTAGTCACACTGGGAGCCAGGGACTAGACTTGGCTGCTGGGGGCGGGGTGGGGTGGGGAATGAATTAAGGGGATTAATTCAACATGGGGGGGGGAGCATCCCCTGCTCCCAACAAATTATGTGGTTCATTCAACAGCACAACAGGTACTGAATCAGACTAAAAAAAACCTCCAAAATGGACAGGTAACATACTTAAAAGGCCTCCTTTGTAGCCTTAAAATACTACACATTTAAAGGTTCCCTTGCTCGAAAGCCAGTTGAGTCCGACTCTAGGGTTGCAGTGCTCATCTCCATTTTCAAATCGAAGAGCCAGCGCTGTCCGAAAACGTTTCCGTGGTCATGTGGCTGGCATGACTAATCACCAAGGTGCACGGAACGCTGTGACCTTCCCACCGAAGTGGTACCTATTTCTCTACTTGCAATTTCTTCCATTCGAACTGCTAGGTTGGCAGGAGCTGGAACTGGAGATGGGAGCTCACTCCATCATGCGGCACCCGGGTCTCGAACTGCTGAACTACTGACCTTCCACAGCCTGCAGTTCAACGTCTGAACCACTTGAGCCACCGCAGCTCCCCAAATACACATTTGCGGAATGGTTAATCATAAGAACATAAGAGAAGCCAATGCTGGATCAAGCCAACAGCCCATCCAGGTCAACCCTCTGTCACACAGTGGCCAAAAATACCAGGTAACTTCCAGACTGTCTTCAAGGGCAACCCCAAACAGACCGTGTTACAGTAGTCCAGCCCACAGAGGTTTCGGAGGCTACCTTGATGCCCATGTTGGTGTTGTGCATATCCACTTTGGCCTGCAGATCTTTCCCAACTTTCTTTTGGCCCAGGAAGTTCTTCAGGAACCTGATGCTGAACTTGAGGTTGTCTCCACACACACCCCACTGCCACGCCTTGCGGTTCTCCAGGTCTGGAGAGTCATCACACGTGCAGCGCTCCATTCGCCCCGCGCTGCAGGCCCGAGCCAGGGAGTGGGTCAGTGCTGCCGAAGACACCGCGTAGAGGAAGGCCGCCTCCTTAAAGCCTGGTGGGGGAGAGGAGCGGCAGGTGGTGAGGAAAGATGCCGGGCAAGGCAAAGAAGTTGGGGGGGGGATGAAGTGAAGCATTTGAAAAAGAAGAAAAAAGAGGGGACCTGACCGCATTGTTTTCTCCTCTTGTGTATGTAACCCAGAGACCTAGGACCAGGGCTCTTTTTGGACAGGAACGCACAGGAACAGAGTTCCGGCTGGCTCCCGAGTTGGCCACACCCAGCAGGAACTCATTAGCATAATAGGCCACACCCAATAGCAGAAACTCATTAGGACTGGCTCCATCAGGGGTGTGGCCTAACATGCAAAGGAGTTCCTGCTACAAAAAAAGGCCCTGGGTTTTGACAACAAACAAGGTAAACAGAATAAGAAGGGAAAGGTGGGTGTGGCTGGATGACCACACTTCTGGTAACATGGGGGTGCGTCCTAATGTGCTAATGAGCGGTGCTGACAGGGTGTGGCCTAATATGCTAATGGATTTTGCTGTTGGGTGTGGCCTATTATGCTAATGAGTTCCTGCTAGGCTTTTTCTACAAAAAGAGCCCTGCGACAGTGCTGAGACGAACATCCCCAGGGGATTTAGGAGCGGGGTGCAGGGTGGAAATCCTTCCGCATGACATCAGATTCCCCCTAGGGCCGCCAGCTCCAGGTTGGGAAACACCTGTAGATTTTGGGGGGTGGAGCCTGAGGAGGGCGGGGTTTGAGGAGGGGAGGGAACCTCAGCAGGGTACAAGGTCACAGAGTCCACCTTCCAAAGCAGCCATTTGGTGTAGTGCTCGTGGTTCATTGTGCAGACTCTAATCTGGGAGAGGCGGGTTTGATTCCTCCACTCACAGCTGCTGGATGACCTTGGGCAAGCCATAGTTCTGGCACAGCTGTCCTTGAAAAAAAGCAGTTTCTGTCAAGAGCTCTCTCAGCCCCACCTACCTCCCAGGGTGTCTGTTGTGGGGAGGGGAAGGGAAAGGAGATTGTGAGCCGCTCTGAGACTCCCTTGGGTAGTGAAGGGCAGGATATAAATCCAATCTCTTCTCTCCATATTCGTTCCCTGATTGGTCTGCTTCGCAGAGTAGCCAATCAGAGCGTGCATTTCACGATACCGGCACCTTGGTTGAAGCTCAGACATTTACTGTATGTATGCACATAACACCCAGAAACAGCAGAGACACATGTGCCGCTCGGTGTCCCAACAGGGGAAAAAATGGGGCATAGTGGGGGGGCCTGGGGGCTGGCTGTGACTGGCAGTGCATAGGATGAGCCTGGTAGGGCAAGGGCACTCTGACACCATGCCTAAGGCGAGGAGGGAGGGTCATGATACTTGGTTCTCCCGTTGGGATTTCCAGAGTCCACGGCAGCCCACCCTCCCTGGCACACGTACCTCGCTTCAGGAGGTCAGTCCTCCCCTCCAGGCTGCAGTTCCAGCGCTCGTTGCGGAACTGGTACTGGCACTCGACGATCCCGAGGTGGACGGCATCCTGCAGCGTCTCGGCCAGGCCCGGCTCCCGCCGGCAAAGCCTCTTCTGCTTACGGGACAGCCGGAGCAGGCTGCACTGCTTCAGGTGAGCTCTCCCCTGGGCAGGGTTCGTGGCGGGCCCCAGCAGAGGGAACGGAATCAAGGCCTCCTTCCCAGTCAGCCTAGGGGAGGGGAAGGAGGAAAAAACTCAGGGCTAGAAAGGCAGCAGCAAGCCAGTGCAGAGCAGGGGTCATTTCCTGCAGGAGCGCACAAGAGCGGAGCTCCGGCAGTAAAGAGCCCAGGGGGCGGGCACATGCAACAAGCCCCACCCCCTGCTCCCAGCAGCCCTCAGTCAGAGCAAGAAGCAGCCAGGTAAGTTGCAGAGCCCCCCTGGCCCCCCGGTCCAAGACAGTCCAGTGGCACCTTAAAGACCAAGTTTTATTCAGGTACAAGCTCTCCCTCCTCTG